GCATGCTCAGCAGCAGCCTAGAGATTTTCAGACTGCCAGCTCGTGGAAGGAAGCTTGACTATTGTCAAGTAGGTTTTATTCACAAGATTTCAGAATTAAAGTTTTAAAAACATATAGGAAAGAAATTAAGGCCTTAAACATTTAGCATATTAATTTTTCCCACTAGAAACTTTCCTCCACCACTTCTCATGGATGATATGACCTAGTTATGTGTTCCTGGGTGGTGGCCAGGCAGACTGGGTGTGGTCTATTTTTAAACCTTTCAGTTTAAGTGTGTTTGGTGAATTGGCCCCTATGGTGGCTAATGCAGGGACGGAGTACCTACAGGAAGCCCTCCCACAGGTATAAAGCCTTCTCCAGCAATGACAGTGGCATGAAGTAAATCTAAATCTTTCAGTGGTATGAAGTAAATCTAAATCTTTCAGGAAATACAAAATCTTTTCACTATTGATTTGATTTTTTTATAGAATCAACTGTTTGGCTGAATCTGCATAATGGAGATTAATGGAGCTTTATTTACTGCTCTTTGTGCCTAAGTTACTTTCTACAGCAGGGCCCTCAGGGAGCCCTAGTAATCCTTCAGTTTACTGAGAAATGGGTCACTTTGCATTATGATATTTAATGGTCAGTGACTGCAAGTCCGGCTGAGAATTTGGGATCTCATTGTCCTCCTCAGCCCTCTTTGATTTCCTCGAGCCCTTCAAAAAAATGGCTTGATACCCCTCAAGAAAATAATGACACTTAATGTTTGTATTCAGCCAAATACTGAAAAAACACTTTGAGGAGTTTCTCTATTACTTTTCAAACTGCATTAAAGCTTTCACTTTTGTTTTACAAGCCAGGAAATGTGAAGAATTCACCTGGAAATAAGTAGAAAACTCCATGTTCTGCCCATTTTAATCAGGTAAAGAACAAGAAATTTCTGGTTATTTTTGGCATTGTTCAGGCCAGCTGAAATGATTTCTTTTTAATTAATTTAATATATTATAGCAATTTTCACCTTATGTGGAAAACATAGGGCTTATTTTTTCCATCTTTAATTTCTGAGCTTAGGTGCCATGACTTAACTTCATTTGTTCCTGAGGAGCACCTGGGTTTTTTGTTTGTTTGTTTGTTTGTTTTAGGACAATCTAGAACCACAGAGTTGGTTTTTATCTATGAATCTATTGCCTGCCTGCCTTTCTTTCTTTCTTTTTTTTTTTTTTTTTGGCTTGGGATTGAACCTAGGGATGCTTTACCACTGAGGTAGATTCCCAATCCTTTTTTTAGTTTTTATTTTGAGACAGAGTCTGGCTAAGTTGCTGAGATAGCCTTGAACTTGCAATCCTCCTGCTCTAGCCTCTTAAGTCACTGAGATTGTAGGCATGTGCCACAGTGCCCAACTACAAATCCATTTCAAACAGTCAAAAAATGCCCATATTTTTTTAGTTTATTTTTTCAAACAGCCCTTTCTTATAATAAGCATACTTGGATTCACCTAATACTAATTCAGTAAACATTTATTAAGTACATTACTATTGTAGGGAAGCTCAAGATTATGTAGCAATATTAAGTGACATAGGAAGTTCTTTATTCTTTCTTTATTATTAGGCATAATCATTTTCTTTGAAGATTAAATAATCTGAGGCTAGATAAACTTAAGGTTTATCAGATGAAGGCAGAAAATAAGTGTGATTTTTTTATCTTAAGTCCCTATTTTCATTTTTTAATCAATATTTACTTATCAAACACCTGCTAAGTACAAAAACACTATTTATATTATTACTTTGTGTATATATTAAAAAATTTTACAATAGCTCTTATGATATCCTGATAGTTTGATTATATTGAATTTGTAAACAACCTAGAAAATAGTTTAATTATGGTATATTCATAAAGAGGAATATTATTCTGTTTCAAAAATATATGTGTTTGCATGGGAGTATATGTACAATTATTATTCAGTGGAGAAAAGAAAATGGTAATATGTTACATTGTTAGACCATGATACATAAAAAATTTAAGTGTGCATCTTTCAGGTAGTAGGATTATTTTTATATTCTTTACAGCTTTTCTGTATTTTTAATATTTTCTGCAATGAATATGAATTTCCTTTTATAATGAGAAATTTTTTTTGTGTGTATGTGTCTATGTGTGCATGCACATGCGCACACATGTGTGGTTCTGGGGTTTGATCCCCAGGCCTCTACCACTGAGCTATATCTCCAGCCCATATAATCAGAAAATTTCTTAAACTTTTGTATTATATTTATTGAAAATTATGGTTACTATTTAAAATTCATGAGAATGATGAATTTTAGGTTTTTTTTCTTCAAGCTATTTCCATATTTGTAGAGAGCCAGAAAGTCATATAAACTTAAAATTTGAGGGAGTACTGACCCAACCTAAGCCTCAAGCAGAATTCCTTATAACCCTGTGTGTTCTCCCTTTTACACCTCTACTGATAGGAAACACCAGACAGCACAGCTGTCTTTGGACAGTTCTAATGTTTAGGAAGCTATTTCTTTTACTAAGTGAAGTCTCCTCTGACTCCTATGCAATGGTACTAATCCTGCTTTGGGTCGTAGAAAACAAATCCAGTTCCTCTTTCAATTTATATATAGCAGGAAATTAAAGCATGTATCTTTCAGGTAGTGGGATGAATTTTAAGTTTTTTGGGTTTTTTTGTAACTTTCTGTATTTTTAAAATTTTCTGCAAATAGTATGCGTTTTCTTTTATAATCTAATCAGATTTTTTTCCTTTGGGATCAAACCCACAGTTTACACTTGCTAGGCAAATGCTGTACCACTGAGCTGCATCCCCAGTCCCACATAAATATTTTCAAAGCTTTTCTTATTTTTATTCCTTTCCAAGAGGTAATTTTGGTTCATAATTTTAGTATCATTTTGTACTTTTTAGTTTATATATAATATATGTGTATGTGTGTACGTACGCATGTTTATATAAATACATATATATGCATACATGCATGCTTTTGTTTTTTTTGACAAAATGAGATCATAATCATAATTGTATTATGACAAGTAAAGAAATTAACAGTAATTCCTGAGTACCATCTAATACCTAATCAGTGTACAAATTTCCATGATTGTCTCATTAATAAATTTTTGTTTTGGTAGTGGGAATTTTGAATCTAGGGGTACTCTACCACTGAGCTACATCCCCAGCCCTTTTTTATATTTTATTTTGTGACATGGTCTTGCTGAGTTGCTGAGGCTAGCCTCAAACTTTCTGTCTTCCTTCTTTAGCTTCCCAGATCACTGGGATTACAGGCATATGCCACTGCACCTGACTCATTAATAACATTTTTGTAGTTTGTTTGAACCAGGATTCAAAAAAGGTCTGCCCCTTGTGCTTGACTTAAGTCTCTTTTTTAGTTGGTACTGATATTACCCATTAACTTTCTTTTTAAATTCTTTTTAGATATACATGACAGTAGGGTGCATTTTGACATATTCTACATACATGGAGTATAACTTTTAAATTGTGATGGTTCTCTCTGCCTCATTAATCCTTTACCATTTTTTTCATTGAAAACCTGGTTTATTTGTCCTTTAGAATTTACCATGTTCTGGCTGTGATTGAATACATCCATTTACTGTCACTCCATTGTTTCTTGGCTCTTTTCTTTTCTTTATTGTTTAGTTATCAATGGACCTTTATTTTATTTATTTATATGCGGTGCTGAGAATCGAACCCAGTGCCTCACACATGTTAGGCACAACTCTACCACTGAGCCCCAGCCCCAGCCCCTTGGTTCTTTTCTTCTATTTCCCATAAATAGATAATTAGATCCAAAGACTTAACCATATTAGGTTCCATTTTTTGGTAAGAATACTTCATAGATGGTAGTATGTTTAGCTATGTTGAATGAATGAATGACCCTACTTTTTTTTACTTAATATATTATGTACATAGTTTATTGTCATAGTTATAGATCCATCTCATTCCTTCTTTTTTTCTTTTTTGTTTTTATTTTTCTCTTTGGTAATGGGGTTTGAATGCATGCCACTGAGCCCACTTTTTAAAAAATTTAATATCCTCCCTCCCTTTTTTTTTTTTAAATTTTGAGACAGGGTCTCTCTAAGTTGCCGAGGCTGGCTTTGAACTTGCAATCCTCCTGCCTCAGCCTCCTGAATGGCTGGGATTACAGGTGTGTGGCACTGTACCTGGCCTCATTCCCTTTTTATTTATTTAATGATTTCCTAGTCTGGATTACTATTGTGGTCTGCTTAATCCTTGTTAATATAGGTTGTTTCCAGTTTTTAGAGTTTAACAATGTAGTAAATGTATCAAATTCTTAGAGAAGCCAAAAACAGATTAATAAATTGACATAGAAAAGATGTTAGTGGTCTATATGTTTAACTTACAATTTTGGGGGTTTGTATTAAATGATCAAGTGAATATTCACTGGCCTCTAAAATATTGGTTTTGAGGATGTAGTGCAGTGGTAGAGTGCTTGCCTAGCATGTGTATGGTTCAATTCCCAGAATTTCAAAAACAATAAAATATTTATAAATCTCCAGTTACTTCTTTGTATTCATTACATACAAGGAAAAAAACAATCTGGAGAAGACTCAGTTTGGCTTTGACATGTCTTTGAAATCACATGTTTCATTCTGAAAGACAATGATGAGGTGATATGAGGAGAGGTATATATCTAACTGAGGATAATATTCTCTCCTCCAGCAGATACATGGAAATGTAGTTGTTTGATCTTTAGAGGGAGAGAGAGGTATGGTGTGTGCTGTGCCATTTAGGCCTCTACTTCATATTCATCCATTTGTCTGTTTAATTATGCATAGAGACACAGCCAGTTGAGAATCTGAGTGTTCATTTGTGAAATGAGAATAATTACGGTTTTCTCTGGCTCATGATCCTTAAGGTCATGTAATAATAACATAATATTTTATGTGGTTTCATAATTTCAAAATATTAAATTTTAGAGTCATTTTTTTCTGGCACAGTTTGCTTATGTTTTTCTTTTTTTTTCTTTTAGTTGTAGGTAAACAGTGGAAACTCCAGACAGTAAATCAGTATTTCTACAGAAAAATGGCAGAGAAGTCAGTATTGAATATAGTAAACTGGCCTTCTTCTTCAGGAAAATCTATAGTAGGCCTTTTCATTATCTTGGGTAATGCCATACTACAAGTGGACTAAGCTGAAATCCTTTTACCTGGAGATAATGTACAAGCCTTAGAACTCTTATTCTCATGTCACTATTTATGTACATAATTAAAATCCAAATTAAAAAAAAAGGTGTCCTGCTTTCTTTACCGATATCATTGATAGTTTAAGCATATCTTGTATTCATATATATGCATAGTTAGTGTGCGTGGTGCATGTTTCTGTGTGTATGCATGTTGTTTGCTAAAGACAACATTAACTCTTCTTTGGACAGTAGCAGAGAGCAGTCTGCAGAGTTTGATTCCCCAAACCCAAAGGAGGGCCGAGGAGAGGGACTCTAGGTAAGAGACAGTGCTTTAAAAATCAACACAAGGAAATGCTGGGGAGTGATATTGGCCAAATTATATTGTTATATTGTATGGATGTATGAATATGTAACAACAGATTCCATCAATATATGCAATTACAAAACACCAATAAAAAATGTGGAAGAAGAAAAAACCAACACAAGGAACAATAAGTAACACAGTATGCCTGTACTAATTAGAAGACATAACAGAAGAAAACTGTAATAGTAACCCTTGTTGTGACTGTCATCTCCCAGTTTATACAGATCTTCCAGATCTTGAATGGAAGTGAAATTCATAATGAAGTAGTATATGTGCTCTGCCAGTGGATGAATGGGGATGTGGCTATGTGTATCAGCTCTTTGTATAGCTTGTGTCCTCCCACTTTGTGGCCCTTGAATGCACCACAGATGGATTTCTCTGTTCCTAGAGCAAGGATCAGCAGGAGTCTCTTTTTTTGAGTTGTCAACTAGCCAGGAAGGATGGCAAGGGCAATATGAGAGAATTTAAAATTTCCAAATTTTAGACTGTTTTGGAAACTGTAAGCCTTTGATGCTTGTCTTCAGTATAATTCCTAATTGTTGATCTTCCAGAATCGATAATGGTTGGGAAGATAGCCATGCACAAATAGAAATGCATGTATTAGTATTAAATACTTTTAATAGAACCAAAATGGCAGGAACACAGCTGGTATTGTTACTGAATTCAATGAGCTAAAGCAAAGTTGTACATGGGATAATCCTAGTCACCCAGAAATCTTACTTTTTTGTGTTACTGGACAAATCATACAAATATATTAAAGCTGTGCCTAAATTATAAATATGCTTTCTCCATTTGTCTTAGGGTTCTGTCACTCTGCAAAGTGGAAATTCCATGAGTTTCTTCATTGAGGTTGCTTGATCTATAGAATATTAAGAAGAAATGGCCTATACCTCAGCATGCTCTGGAGATGATTAATCAATAGGTATTTGAGTGCCTCCTTAATATACAATATTACTTCTCATTGCTAATCCTTCAGTCACTATTGAAATGTTTTTTTGAAACCTCTTAACTCCTCCATTTGGTGGTGGGGTTAGGTATCACCAAGCTCTACTATTGTTTGATCTGTGTTTAGTACAGCAGAGGAATTATCTACCAACACAGATAGCTTAGTTACCCTTTGAACTATTTTTGATTTATGGATGGTGGCCCAAAGATCTTTTCCTGGTTGTTTGTATTCAAGTGCAGCTTTCTTTTTATATTTAATACTTTCCATGCCTCCTATGTATATTAAACTATAGGGAATATAAAATATGCATATTTGGGGTTGGGAATGGTGGTGCATGCCTGTAATCCTAGTGGCTTGGGAGGCTAAGGCAGAAGGATTGTGAGTTCAAAGCCAGCCTCAACAACTTAGCAAGGCCCTAAGCAATTTAATGAGACCCTGTCTCTAAATAAAATATACAAAAAGGGCTGGGGATATGGTTCAATGGTTAAGTACCCCTGGGTTCAATCCCCAGTACCAAAACAAAAAACAAATGCATATTTGGAGGCTAAGGATGTAGCTCCGTGGGGGAGCATAGACAGCATGCACAAGGCCCTGAGTTCAATGGCCTGAGTAGTGGCCCATATAATGCACCAAAAAAATAAGTACTTAAGTCCCTAAAGTGTTTCTCCAATTCTTTATACTTTCAAAGTGCCATTTTCTCTCTCTCCTCTCTTGCCTTATTCCTGAATTCGGTACATTTGTACTTTATTTGTTTGGGGTGCTAGGGAATGGGCCAAGGTGTGCTTTACACTGGGCTACATCTCCAGCCCTTTTCATTTTTAATTTTTAATTTTTTTTTTTAATTTTTGGTGCCAGGGATTGAACCCAGGGGCACAACAACTGAGCCACATCCCCAGCCCTTTTTTAAATTTTTATTTAGAGACAGGGCCTCACTAAGTTGCCTAGGCCAGCTTTGAAGTCGCAATCCTTCTGCTTCAGCTTTCTGAGCTACTGGGATTACAGGAATGTGCCACCATGCCCATCCCTTTTTATTTTTTTATTTTTAGCCAGGATATCACTGTATTCCTGAGGCTGGCCTCCTGAGTTGCTGGGACTACATGCATGTGTTATCATGCCCAGTTTTATTCTTTTTTTAAGCATTTTTTAAATTTTGGACACAATAACCTTTATATTATTTTTATATGATGCTGAGGATCGAACCCAGTGACTCCCACATGATAGGCAAGCACTCTACCACTGAGCTACAGTCCCAGCCGCCAGCTTTATTCTTGTTATTCTTTTTCTGTGCCAAGATACTTCTATCTACTGTTATACTTCTTATTCCATCTTTTATGGTCATATCTCCTTATAATAAAAACCATGACTCTCCATCTACTTTATCTGCAACATAATCAACATAGTTCTGTAGTTCTATTTGAAGAACTTCAGGGACTCTGGAGGGAATGTTATCTACCTTACAAATTGACTTAAACTCCTCTGAAGAGATAAATGTGGTTTGGTTTGTTCTGTGATGACAGATTCCCAAGAAAGAGTGCTTTGTAAAAAATCAAGATTGGTTCAGGGGCGGCGGTGCATGCCTACAATCCCAGAGGCTTGGGAGGCCGAGTCAGGAGGATTGCAAGTTCAAAGCCAGCTTTAGCAATTTAGCAAGGCCCTAAGCAACTTGGTGAGATCATGTTTCAAAATAAAAGATAAAAATGGCTGGGAATGTAGCTCAGTGGTTAAGCGCCCCTGGGATCGATACCTGATACCAAACAAACAAACAACATCAAGATTTTCCTCTGCTTCAACCAGAGGAAAGAAAGGATTAGGAATACTAAAGAATGCCTTCACCAATCTTACCACCTTTATCACACCTTGAGACAAAAGCTAAGCAGTAGTACATAGCAGAACCCAGAGCCAGTTGAGCTGACTGACAGTACCACCCAGAGTTTAGGGTAGAGGTGTCTAGGCCTGTGGGTCAGCAGCTTTTGTTCCAAGTGCAATGCTGGTACCCAGCCCAGTAGTGGCCCACATAATGCAGAGCACCTAACCCTAATGAATAAATCAATTATGTAAATACCCCAAAGAAAATCCAAAGCATAGGTGAAATGTGTGTTTTGCATATACAGGTGTTAAAAATAGGACTTACTAGAGGTCAAACAGGAAGTCAATGAATGTTAAAATTAGGCCATGTAGTGAGTATTACTGATTTTTATGAGTGTGAAACTATAATTTAGAATCCTTGACTTCTGAGAAAATAGATGGGACTTTTGTTGTCATTGTCATGTTTAATGAATGCACCTTGCACTTATCGTTTGAGAAAAGCTAAATATTTAGAGAACACTTTTCTTTGTGGCCAGCAGTATTCATTCCTATTGTATAAACTGACTAATAAACCATGAGTATGAAAGTTATCAATTTTTAGTTCACCAAGTCTAATGCAAAAACAATTTTGAGGGGATCAGCATTATATTTGTGGAACTAAATTCTCTTTCAAGCTTAATTTTCATTAAAGGCAAATATTTGAAATAATGATTTTGTTCACCGTGGGTTGAAAGAAACTTGGTTAAGGTATTGGTTTTCACTCTGTAAACCTCCTGTCTAATATCCTTCTATTCATGTTTCAGATCAGTAATTAGCCAGCACACAGGAGTAAAGGTACAATCAGGTCAAACTCCAGATGTGACTGAAGTTCAGTCTTATTTATGTTTATGAAATTATGGCCAAGGAAATTTCTGGATGAAAGAAAAGTTTGTTTTTATAAGCAAGCATTTCACTTCACATTTTGTTCCTTTGACATACTGAATAAATCACCTATGTCTCATATTTAGGGGCTTTTATTTTCTTAATCAAGTGTAGTGCTTTGCTGCTGAACTCTGAAAGACAAAAGAATAGCCAAGGGAGTGACTCTTCTCCCTGGCTACCTCAAACTGAAATAACCTTAATCAAAGTCCTTATAGGACTGGTGGAGTAGCTCAGTGGTAGAGTGCTTGCCTAGCAAATATGAGGCTCTTGATTCCATCCCCAGAATCTTAAGAAAGAAGGAAAAAGGAAAAAAAAAAAAAACAACCTTGTAAATCTCCCCCTCCAATGCTGCCCTATTGATGGCATTGTAAGACAGAAGAAAAGGTAAAAGGCAAAGATAGAAAAAAAACTAGGTGCAGTGATGCTCACCTATAATCCCAGGGACTCAGCAGGCTGAGGCAGGAGGAATGCAAATTCAAGGCCAGCCTCAGAAACTTATCGAGGCTCTAAGCAATTTGGGGAGATCTTGACTCAAAATTAAAAAAAATAAAAATAAAAAAAAATTAAAAAGCTGGATGTGTGGCACACATCTATAATCCCAGTGGCTCAGGAGGCTGAGGCAGGAGGATGACAAGTTCAAAACCAGCCTCAGCAATTTAGTGAAGCCTTAAGCAACTTTGAAAATCCTGTCTCAAAATATTAAAAAACGGGCTGGGGATGTTGCTCAGTGGTTAAATGCCCCTTGGTCCATTCCCCAGTACCAATAAATAAATAAACAAACAAATAAATAAGCAATAAATAAGCAAGCTATGGATGTAAATAAATGAATAAATAAATAGGCTGTGGGTGTAGCTCAGTAGTATGCCATCCTTGGATTCAATCCCCAACACCAAATGAATGAATGAGTGAATGATGGAGAAAAATATGGAATTGAAAAACTGCTTCCCACACTCAGAAATAGTCATAGTGAATCCTTCAAGTGCTTAGATGATATAATACTGAGATTTTACTAGGAGTGACCCCAAATTTGTGTATCATCAGGAGAATGATCTTAAATGTTTTGTTCACTACAGGGAAAACATCAGCTTTTAAGTATTAGCCATCTAAATTTATCTTTCATATCTCTTCTAAGTTTTGAGAAAATAGCACTCAGGTAATGGTAGTGTCTGAATTATATATACATTAGTTTCTCCTGGAACCCCAGGAAGATAAGAGGAAATGGGTTTTTAAGATGGCTTTAGCACCTGGGGGAAGGTTGATCAATGGGTATTGAGTTAGAGTTAGATAGGAGCAAGAAATTCTGGTGTGCTATTGTACAGTAGGGTGACTAGAGATAACAGGTACCATATATTTCAAAAAACTAAAAAATAGGAATTTGAATGTTTTCACTATAAAGAAATGGTGAATCAGGTCTGGGGTTGTGGCTCAGTGGTAGAGCACTTACCTAGCATGTGCGAGGCCCTGGGTTTGATTCCCAGCACCACATATAAATAAATAAAAGTCCATTGACAACTAAAAAATATTTTTTTAAATGGTGAATGTTAAAAAAGAAAAATGATAAATACTTGAGGAGATATGTTTACCCTGGCTTAAGCATTAGACACATATATCAGAATGTCACATGGTATCCCATAAATATGTACAACTTTTATGTTTTTATATATCAGTTAAAAATAAATGGGACTTGAGCTGGAATTGTAGCTCAGTGGTGGAACACTTGCCTATCACATTCAATCCTCTGCACCAAATAAAAATAAATAAAGGTATTATTTCCATCTACAACTAAAAATATTTTTTTTAAATAGGGCTTGATGTATAGCTAAATATAGAACTTTATAGTTAACTATAAACTATAGCAGAGTACTTGTCTAGCATGCATGAGGCACTAGGTTTGATCCCCAGCACTGCAAAATAAATAAAAATTAAAGAAAAATGGGAATGGAGAGAGAGATGCCTTCATTACAGGAGGGGTGCCTGTGGACACATGGAACCAAAGTTTACAAAGTAAACATGAGATTCTTAATATTAACTTCTTCACTCAGTAGAGTGTTTGCTTAGCATTTAAGTTTAAATTTTAAAAGATATAATTAGCATACAAGAAAGGGATGGGGAGAGGGAGACTATAGGACTTCTGTGTTTTTGCAACAGACTTAGGAGAACAGTTTGGGGAGAGCTTGACTCAAAATTAAAAAATAAAAATAAAAAAAACCTCAGTGTCCATGTAACATTGATATAATAAAAAATAATGAAAAGATTTAGAAACAGTTTCTACAAAAAGCAAGGAATTTAATCTCCCCCAACTCTTGAACTTCCTGATCACTTTCTAGATTTCTAGTGGCCTCATGGATGTTTCCCCCTTGTTAGTTCACACCTCATCTCCTCCATAGACTATAATTCTGAGGCCAGGGCAAGTGTCTTCTTAGTGTTCCGGCAGTGCTGACCTGATGTAACTGGTGCATATGTTGCCAATGTGTGCTGAGTGAATTATTGACAGTTCACAATTGCATTATGATTCTGTTTCAGTCAGAGCCTTTGGAAGGTATCTGTAGGTATTTGATTTGTTTGATTGCCACAAAGGTCAGGTTTTATGTCCCTTTATTTCTGACTTCAAATCTGAAAACAGGAGGTTGGCTTAGGTGCATCTTCAAAAGCCTTCTTATTCTGCAATTTCACCCCTGAAATTTATTAAGCATCTACTGAATACATGGTCTAGATGATCTGTTAGCATGGGCAGGGTAGAGAAATACCATTCACAGTTCAGATTTGAAGAAAAAGTTAAGTGCATGAAACAATCAGAATAATTACAGGGCAGCAACATCATAATGTACAAATTAAATATCAATGATAGGTAATGGTTTCATGCATTGATCTTGTGAGAAAAAAGCACCCAAGGATGTTTGTCTAAGACCTGAATATAATATATCTAGGCAAGAGTTTTAAATTTGGGGGGCACAATAACTTTTTTTAGGTAAGGGAAATTAATCAGAGGAAACAAGCCTGGTAAAACAGGGGATGTTGACTTGGATGGATGATTTACTGAGTTAGGATTTATGTCATGCTCTTTGTATTTTTCCTTGGGAGTACCTTTTGTCCCCCGCAAGTCTAGCAAGGGTGAGCCCAGAGATGAGCTTTTGGGGCACCTTTGATATATTCCTATAATTCAATCATGAATATTCATTAATGTTATGTATATAGAAAATAATTTCTAGGGCTGGGGATGTGGCTCAAGCGGTGGCACGCTCGCCTGGCATGCATGCGGCCCAGGTTCTATCCTCAGCACCACATACAAACAAAGATGTTGTGTCCGCCGATAACTAAAAAATAAATATTAAAAAATTCTCTCTCTCTCTCTCTCTCTCTCTCTCTCTCTCTCTCTCTCTCTCTCTCTCTCTTTAAAAAAAAAAAAGAAAAGAATTTCTTGCTGGCCATGTTGGCCTGTAATCCCAGTGACTTGGGAGGCCAAAGCATGAGGATTGCAAGTTTGAGGCCAGCCTCAGCAACTTAGCAAGACCCTAAGCGGTTTAGCGAGACCCTGTCTCCAAGTCAAATATAAAAAAGGCTGGGAATGTGACTTAGTGGTAAGCACCCCACCCCTGGGTTCATTTCCTGGAACCCAAAATAAAAAATAAAATAATCTCTTATTACTTTCATATATTGATAGGAATTGGAATGTCTGGTTAAGAATCCCATTGCTTGAGAGCCAACATGTCCTACTTTAATTAACAGGGATGTTTAACTTAGAATTAATATTGATTTGCATAATATAGTATGCCACTGTCCTTTAAAAGAAGTTATACAAGTGACAAACATATGTCTTAGTAACTTACACATGCCATTGGACAATATTTGCTGAAGTGTTATACTTAAATTTTTGTTCCTAGATAAGAAAAAGTTCAGCTCTCTGAAATGATACTAAATTCAGAATATTAACAAAACTAAATTTGCATGTTTCCTTAAGTAAACCTAAAATTTGAGCTTACATGAGAGCATGGCCTCTGTGCAGAAGAGATATACTTCACACAGCAGTCTTGAGCCTGCCATCTTTAGAACAGTCTGCTGGCAGGGTTGGCCCTTAGGAAATTACTTCCCAACAGTTCCTATGCTTATAAGGCTGGGGTGCCAAACTCTGCTATATCAGGTAACATAGATTGTGCAAATGGCATGAGTTATGGCCAACACCTGATTTTATTCTGGGACATTAGGTAGTTGCTATGCAGAGGGTGACTATTGTGCCAGCCCCAGTAAAATCCTTGAGTACTGAATCTCTAATATGCTTTGCTGGGCAGAAATAGTGCACCTGTGTAGCTCCAGTTTTGCTGCTGGAGATGGGGACACATTGAATATGTCCCCTTCCAGGCCAGGAGGGAGAAAACATAGTAATCCTGTGTTTTTTTCCCTTGCTGGACCTGTCATATATCCTTTGCGACAATAAACCTAAGCCATGAGTACAAGTACATACTGGATCCTGTGAGATATTTTAGTGAATCTGGAGGATCCCCCCCCAAAACAGCCTGTTAAGATGGTATTTGTTTTATGTTGTTCCATCTTCCCCTCCACTTTACAGGAAAAACAAATAAAAGTCCTATTATATTTACATTAAATATTTTCAGGTCACAAGACATTAAAAAAGTTTTTAGTCATCTTCCTCGAGCAAAAAGTAAATAGTTTA